ATGAGCATCTGGGGAAAACAACTGAGATTAGTTCAAATGGTACTTCCCAGTGTGTACCGTTTAAGGACTATGACCCAGAACAGCTCTAGAAGACTTTTGGACAATAAAGGTAATAAAGACAGAAGATATGCATGGTTCCTGAGAGCATTTAGAGCAATTATGAGTTGCAATCTGAGCATCTTTATGAGTACAGAGGGTCATGTTCGGGGTCTGAGGGATAAGAAGATCATCTTTTATGCACCAAAAAAGCTGTACCCTGAGGTTCTGTTTTGTTCATTAATCATCACAGTTTTCTATTTTGGCTCTAATGACTTGAGATTATGTGTGTTTGTGTGTGTGTGTGTGTGTGTGTGTGTGTGTGTGTTGTCTCTTCAACTGAAGAGATTATGAGGCATTGGTCAGATTAGCCAAAATTTTAAACACAAGTTGAGACCAAATTCCAGCTCCTCCTTTTTTTGTTGTTTGCCTAACCTTGAACAAGGTACATGAAATAAACTATCTCTGGTTTCTTAAGGTATACAATAGAGCTATCTATCATATGGAGTCACAAAAAAGATAGCATTTCTCCAGACTTTACCAATATATAAAACCGATACTGAAACTTTTTTTTACCATGTACTCATTTAAATATTTTATAAATGCTTCATTTTTATTCTATAAGCCATATGGGTTAAATACAGTCTTCAGAACTTGGAATGCAGGCATATAATATCAACAAGGATAATGGAAACTTGCTTCTTCATAACGAAGATATTCCTATGATAGCTTTCTGCCACCTAGCCATGAAGAACAACAACAAAAAGATAGTGGATAAAAGGTTAAAATGTCGTGATTCCCAAATATTGCTGTATACACAGTTGACTCAAAGACATATAAAATCAACTGGTGTGTTGCTGTGACAACATTTAGAGTTCACTGATATAAGCATCAACTAGAGTATCACAAGATTTTAATGTGCAACAAAGTCCGATGTAACAGTCACTGAGTTACAGAGTTAATGTCCTCCTTCACCCTGTACATTATGTGGTTTCCTTCTGTTACTTTTTGGAATTAGAAATCTGAGCTAGAAGTACTCAGCTGAAACCCTCCCAAGCCTTCATAGTGGAGGACATCAGTGCCATTCTCTTACCCCCTGAGATCTTTTCTTCTTCCAAGTTTCTATTTCTAGTCTTACCTTTGTTTTCCTACCAAAGACCCTGGAGCCAACTAGGCAGGATCAGAATACAAAGCCTCTTAACAGCCTTGTCACTCTAGTGGAACATCAGGTCTCAAAGTCTCTCCATTGGCCTGTCAGTTTCAATCAGGTGCTTCGAGGATGTCAGCCTTCCAATGGCTAGTGGCTCCTGAACTTTACCATCCTGCACTGTGCTCCCAGTGGTGGGGGAAGTCACAATGGGTTGACCCAGACTCTTTCTCCACTACCAATACTTGGCCTTAGAAACTTACTCTCTAGGTTCAAATGTTATGCAATAAAATGTAGCACAAATATCCAGGCTCTGTGAAATAATATAAAGCTATATGTAGCGAGTCAACTCATTCTATGCCAGTTTCTGTGACAGAGAAAATGATTCAAGTCAAGCAGTGGTAACTTACAGCAGTGGGTTTTCTATATAGGAAGCTAACCCTTGCTCAAGTACTATGACAGCTTCCAAAAGCTCTGCCCTTGCCCTTGCAGCTTCTAGAAGAACACACCCTGGGTATGCATGGATGAAAAGAACTCAGAAAAGACACAGAGCTCCTGCATTAGCCTTATGTGTTAGTTATGTATTAGTCTTAAGCTAATGTTATCGTAAGTTGTGGACTGCATATCATGGAAGAAGGAGGAAGTTAATAATACACAGCTCATCATTATGGTGTAAAAAAAAAAAAAAAACCAAAGGGAATCTCCACTTTGAATTCAAACCAAAGGCTTTCCCCCACAGTGCCTAAATTAAAAAATATTCAGAGAAAGGTGTGTGTTTTTAAAAATCAAAAATGGAAATTCTTTGTAAAGTCTTGCAGCTAGGTGTGACTGTGACAGGGCAGGGAATTTGCAAGTTAGAAATAAGTCCCAGTTCCATAATGAGACCAAGGGAAGGAAGGAAGGAAGGAAGGAAGGAAGGAAGGAAGGAAGGAAGGAAGGAAGGAAGGAAGAGGAAGAAAGGAAGGGAAAGAGAGAGAGAGAGAGAAGAGTGGAGAGTGAAGGAGGGAGGAAGAGAAATCAGGACATCATGAAATCTTAGTGGTAGAAATAACACAAATGAAATAGTATTTATGAAACTCAATGCTGAGAAGTTACATCCTATTGGGCCAACAAAAAAGGAGTCCTTTAAGCTAACTTACTTTCTAGCAACAATCTCTTAGTCACCCATTGCACAGCCCTGTTTTCCTGGACAACACCTGACTGTATAGCATATTTACTTTCTTGAGAGAGATATTCAAATTTAATGCTAATCACTAATATGCCACATAGTTGTTGGGTTTTTAGATGTGCTGATGACTTTATTCCGTAAAGTTTGGATTCCATTTTAGATATACTAGAAACAAACTAGGTAAAACACATCTAACTGATACATTTACAATGCATGTGTCAAGTCATCTAACTCTGGTGATGTGTAAGGGAACGAGAATAGGAAAGATGATATTCCAGGCACAAGGCTTTAACCCAGAACCTCCATATAGGACTTGGGCTTGTCTAGAATGTGAACTCGTGAAGCATAATATATACTCATATACACATATATATGTCACATCTGTGCTTTACATCTCTGCATTTTCACTGAAAATGTAAAAGAACCAGTGCTCTACTAGGAACACCTTTAGGAGAAGGTTGTGTTCAGAAAGCACGATCTCAACTGAATAACTAATCTTATCTAGGAAAATGTAAACATTAAATTTGTGAATGAGTCATTTTGCATAGGTGGAAGACAGAGAACTTAGATTTGCATGCTAAGTTCTTTTCAATTACTTTTGCAAAATGTAAAACGTCATCTGTAAATAAGTTGCTTGGCATTGATATTTGTTTTATCTCATTCCACAGAAATGCCCCTTTCAACTAAAAAAAAAAAAACACAAAAAAAACTTATATTCTAAGAGCAAATATGTGTTGACTATGCAAATATTTATTCTTAAAAGAACCTATTAAAAACGCATCACAACCAGGTTTAACACCTCCACAGTGCACAGCCATATGCCTCCTTTCAGTGGGAAATCACAGGCTTAGACATGAAATCTACAATGGTCTGGGAAGCTGCTCTCCCAAGCATGCGCCACCCCACTTAAAGGAAGCCCATCTACTGTTGGCTTTATACTAAACAGACCTTGAGTGAGAATATAAACTCTGGCCTCCAGCTGGGCGGGGGAGGAGGGGGAGCTTCCTGGCCAACCAGAGCCTCCAAATCTATTGCATCACACACCCCTCCCAGGGTGTGACATCAAATGCAATCCTGGCCCAGCCACGTGGGTTGAAGGAGTGAAGCATTTCTGTGCAGCTGCTACAGAGACTCATTTGGCAGTAAAGCGTCCCAAGAGGTAGTGAAGTGAGCTGGGCCGGGTGGGGCCGGCTGGGCTTCTACAAGTCCCAAGCCAGGGCCCGGTTGCTGCAGCTGGCTTCCCTAGCAGAGGGGGTACCCGAGTCAGAATAGTGTGCCCCGGCGTTGGGGGTTGGGGGGAGGGGATGTCCAGAGCGGTCCTGGTGGAACCTAGCACCTTCAACTGTGCAATGAGCCCTGGGTCTTAGAAGCCTTCGTCCTCAGACACCGCCTCTGCACCCAGCCCTTCTTCCCAGCCTTAATGGTCCTTTCAGAGCTGTTTCCCCTAGGCTGCCTTTCTTAGGCCTGAGGAAGCCGCCTCGGTCGCCACGAAGTTCTCACCCTTACACAGACTCTCCTTTCAGACCCGCCCTCTGGCTCACCGGGACCGTTTTCTAAACCCTGGCTCACTCTAGGCGGGAACCACCGTGACGAATTCCGCCCAAGGTGTCGATTATCCCGTCTCAGCCCAGCCTCTGGCTCTCCTCCCATCTCCACTCGGGCTTCCAGGGCCCCTCAAGCCCACGTTGGGCAAGGGGCTAGGGACAGAGCCCCCAAGTTCCCCCCCCCCATAGCGGCGTCTCCAGCTGCAGCGGAGAAGAGAAGCGCCAGCGTGCTCGCTGCCACGTCGGTTTTGGCTCGGGACAGAGTGCAGCTGCAGGCGCGCAGCGCTGTCCCTGCGCACTCCCTGGCCCCTGAGCTGCGGGCGCTCCGCCTGGCTCTGGGAGGGATGCGCGCCCTTCGTTCGGCCCCGGTGGCGAAGGCCACCGCCCGTGTGAGGAACCCCTAGCCCCAGAAAAGGCTTCCGCAGGGTAGTTGAGCCCGGATGCTGCCCGCCTGACTCTTTAATGGAGTTTGGAAACTGCCAAAGAGTGGAGGCCCTGGAGAAGGGGGGAGTGGCTGAACTAGGAGGGTAGCAAGGAGGTGGCGCGGGACTTCCCTTCTGGGGTCTCAGACTAAAGGGGCGAGAAGACTGACTCGCTTAACCCTTTCCGTGCAAGCCAATATTGAGAGGAAAAGGGAAAAATAAACCGCACAGAACCGTGTCATGGTGTTCCTGCCCACATACAGGGATGTGGAGCGTGGGTAGGAAGACGGGAAGGGTGGGAAGGTAAGGACAGTTACGGAAAGCATTTTCCTCACACAGTGGAAATCCTTGTTTTCTACCTCCGGAGCCCTCCTGAAGCTCGGGAAGATGCCCAGTGGAAAAGTACACCTCGGACAATCAGCTTCCCTTGGCCCCGCGTTACCTGTGCGCCCCGGAGAGGCAGCGGGTTTCTGGCGAAAGCGAAGGAGTGATAAAAGCCAGGGTATGCTTGGTCGTAGCTGGCAGCAACCCCTCCTGTGCAGTCCGCTGGGGGAAAATATCCAGACCTCAAACGTTTCTGTAGAAACTAGGCATTTTTTTTAAAGCTCTGTGGATAATTTCTTCCCTGCCCTCCATCTATCTAGGGCATTCACAGCTCACCCAAACGCGCCTGTATAACGTACCTTGTTCAGCTCCTGCTCATAGACTTTCGTCCTCCGCCTGTCTGTGTGGTCCCGGAGGGTCACGGAAGGAAGTTTCCAAAATTGAGGTAATAAGAAATCAGATGAATTTGAGACGACCGGCCAAAAAAAATAAGAAATTTAAAAACAACATTTAAAAAAAAATAGGGGGAGTCTTAAATGCTTGGTTCTCCCCTCTTTGAGAAGAAATTGCACTGATATTCTCTTTTATTATTTCCGTTGCATTTAAATCTTCTAATTCTTTATGTTAAATGTGCTTTTAAAAATAAATTAACTTTTTTTTTCCTGTTTTGCTATTTGCTCCAATCTCCCTCCCTCCGATAGATAACGCAAAGTCTTTTTTCACATCACCCTAAAAGCCCGGTGAAGACTCAGTAGCCTAGGAAGTGCAGAAAGGAGAAGCCTTTGGCTGGTTCAAGTCCCTGGTTCAATGGGCTGCTCGAAGCCAGTACTGGGTAATTCTTTCCAGACGCCTTGACTTCTCCCTCGCTGTTGCCTTTCTGCCTCCTCCAACTTAAGGGGGTCTTAACAAGTGAGCCAGCCGGTGGGTGTTTTAATAGGACGGAGGAGGGAGTGGGGGTGAGGGGAGTGGAGGAGGGAGGTGTGGACTGGGGAACCCGGAGGGGAGGGACTGGGCGGGATGGGAGGCGGGGAGGAGAGTGTGGGGAGAGAAATTGGCCATTCAAAGCCCTCTCAGAGCTCGAGGCCGCTTCGAAACTCCAATGAATTCAATTAACTTGATTGTTAACGTGTGCAGAGAAACGCAGCGCGCAGATGCTGCCCACCTCCGGATTCCTCTCCTCGGGCAGCCCCAGCGGAGCAGGGAGCCCGGCTCTGCAAAGGTTGCTGTAGTCTGCCCTGCTTAAAAAGATTCCCCCCCCCCCCCTTGGACAAGCCCCTGTTGCGTACAAGTGATTTGTTTGGGGCCAAACGGTTCTCTTGGGCTAAGTCACTGCCCCGGGCGGGATAGCGGGCTGCATGCGTGCGTGCGTGTGTACAGTCCCTACCTGGAGCTCCCCAAACCGCCCAGGACGCTAAACGGAGAGTGAGCAGCCTGCTATTAGTTAACCCCTTCTTCCTGCCAACTCGAAACTTTCCAAGCTGAAGGCAAGCCTCAGCGCTGCTCTTCTGCCATTTTCACTGTGGGTGGGCTGAGCACCAAAAGGAGAAAAAGAATTCTATTTCTTCCTATTGTAATTCCCAGACATGAAAACATGCAAAAGACATACTTTCGAAAGGAGTTTATAATGAGGATGATGAAGAAGATAACAGTAAACCTGAGAACTCGTAAGGAAACAGCCATCTCAAAAGACAAGTGACTTTTGCTTCTTGAGAGCCTTTTACTTAATGATTTCACAATACTTTTTAAAATGTCAATGCCGCCAAGACTGGACTGGTCTTTTTTTAGTTTACTTCTTCAACCTGCGGGCACCAGCGCCCTTTTTACCTTGGTCCCTACCTCCCCTGTCCCTGCCCCCACCCAAAGTAAAAGGTGAAAAGAAAAGAAAAAAGTCAATGAGTTAAAATGGACAGTAGGTGGCGCTGTTTGGGAAAAAATGAGAGCCAGTTTACAACAGTAATTTAGTAGGCTAAAATTCTAATCTGATAAAACCTTGCTTGTATTTTACTTTCTTTTCTGTTCTTCTCTCTCTCTCTCTTTCTCTCTCTCTCTCTCTCTTTCTCTTTCCTTTTCTTTCCCTTCTACGTGCCCTTGCGGTGGACTTGGTTTGCAATTTACCCTATCTTGATGACTGGGTTATTTATTCATGATAACGTCCGAATATACATTTTTGCCAATTGTTAAGGGTCAGACAAAAACAGAAAAGTAGAAGAAACCGAGAGTGACGAGTGACGCTTGAAACTCATCGGACAGGTGCGGGGTTGGGGGGGATGTGAATAAGCTTGCAGAGTTTGACTGCAACTCCAGGGTGTCAACCATCCCATCCCCCAGAGCTGAAAGAGCAAAGCCAACCACCCGTTTTCTTTCCTCCTCCCCCCCAAAAAACAAACAGTCATTTCACCTCTGGGAAACAGTACTTTAGTGGATGACTTCACGCCACTCTGGGGAGACCCACTTCCTCCTTTCCCCAACAACTCTCTTGGCCTCAGCCTTTGTTTGAACTCTGCCTGAGGTGATTTAACTGTTGCAAAGATGGGCTTAAATTTCAGAGCACAATTTCATTGCACTTAATCAGACTTGAGCTTCCTGATTTTTCAGGGTTTGGGAAGCGGTAAATTACTATTTTAAAGTATTACCCAACTTCTACACCACGACTTATTAAATTAAACTGAGTTAAGAGTAAGGT